ATTATTATTATTATTATTATTATTATTATTATTATTATTATTATTATACTATTAAATGCATCAGCCCTTCAAAGTAGGTTTACAAGAGAGACAGACACCACAATGATTCCAGGAATATTGCTTTGTTAGAGTAAGGTAAAGCAATATAATCCTGAATGTTATCCAAGCTTCTCCCTGTCCTATATTACACTAATACAGTCAAGGTGGGGTTATTCTGTGGTCATTTCTCACCCTTCAACTCAATCTCTGCACTGTATTATTATTCACCCAATCCCTCCTTAACAGTTATTTCATACCATGGTTATTTCTAAATTCCTCTAGTCTACATAATGCTGTGTTGTATGAATTGTTTAAATTACTTAGTCACAATTTAATTTTTGTTCGTTTTTCAGAAGGTAAGTGAAAATTAATTAAGAATATTATGCCACTTCTTGATCTTCCAAACCAATGACTTTCCAAAACTATATAAACAAAAAAGAAATATTAAGAAATATTATTTCCCAAGAATCCATAAACACTGATGATATATTAGGTTAATACTAGTTTACCTGCCAATGCAAAAGACTGAAATTTTGAAACCCTTGACAATTCTGGTATTGCTGACAAGAAACGAGTAAGCCAGAAAACAGATTTTTTTGTAAAATTTCCTCTTTTACTTCCTTGCTGTGCTATAATATTTTTATTCAAATAAAAGAATAATGACTATGATAATATTTTCTTATAATATGTTAAACAGAACCTTGATGTTTCACTTTAGTACAAAAACCCAATGTCTTATTTTCTGATGTCTACTATTATTTCAAATGTACCTCATTTTACTGTATTTGTTTTTCTTAGAACTACAAAATTTAGTTACGAAAATTAACAGCATCTCTGCAAAACCAGTATGCTGCATTATAGACAGAAAGTTGTTTAAAAGAATCCATGTCTCTCACCTAATTTTCTCTTCATTGAAACCCCAAGAAATACTGAACATTATTTCCAAAAGTTCCTAAACAAGTCTGAATAAAAAGTATAGTTTTAAATGCCATCCTTTTCCAGTTTGCCTCACTTATGCTATATTCTTTGACTTCCACTGACATCTAGTGGATTAAGGTAAAATTACATAGCAAATAAATATTGCTTCAATGTATTACCCCTTTTCTTCTATTTTTTTTAACCAAGCTCCTCAATTTTAGAAAGTTTTCTCTTCTGAAATCTAATAGACTTTTGGATAACCATTTATTTATGCAATCGTATGAAAAACTAAGTGCACCCCATTAAAATGTTTGACGTTTTCCACATATTTCGACAAACAATATTTAGCTTTCATTTCATCAATACTGAAAAAGTGGATAAAATGTAACAAATAAATGCACTATTTTACATTGTGCAACTAAAATAAATATAAATGCAAGTTTCTTATGCAGGAAAAGTAAATACCCCCTATATTGATTACTATTTCAAATACTTAACAATTAGAATCCAATGCACCAGATATATGATTAAAACATTATTAGATAGGAACTGAATAACTTATCAAAATCTCAAATATTTAGTTGGATGTGCTCTTTATTGTCGATGTGTGTTGTATCAAGCCTAGCTCTCTGAGGCCTTCAGAAAGAAGTTTATAAACTGAGAAAGGATTCAAAAGGATTGCCAAATAAATGGACATGAATCATTGAGAAATTGGAAAATTATCTACAAGACTGCAAACTGCAGATTTGCCCAGGTCAGGCAGTCACAAATTTAGCTGAGATGCAGGCAAAATTAGCAAACCAATATTGAGTTTTCTGGACACATGTAACAATGTAGGCTGTAAAAAAAATGCTATTTACAACTAGCAGTCATACTTGTATCTTTTTCCATGTGTACTAGGAAATTGGTTCTTCCCAAATTCAAGAGGTATTTTAAAGTTCTTATCTGTATCATTTATACCACATTCTGCTGTTAGAGCTTTATCCTAGGCACACCGTTAATTCTTTCACTAGAAATGCTCAAAACCAATTAATATTTTTCTAGAAATTCTCAACACATACTCAGCTAAAAGGTTTAATATACAATGGCCCTTCTCATTCAATTAGTCCTCAATGAGTTTTCCTTTTTTAAAAAGTTTTATTTGCTATATTAGTATAATGTACTATATAAAAAGTGCAGTTCAAACAAACAGTGTGTTGTCTGGGTACAATTGTTTTTATGCTATCATAATCAGGGTGTTTACAATAACATTTATCACAATAACATTAATACTGTGATAATAATTTTAACATTTATCCTTTTTATGCCTCTTTCTTTCTAACTTCTGTTTTTATTGTCTAGCCATCGATAAAATGAGTCCCATGTCAAAAAGTATTTAGTTCCTTCTTTGTCCTTAATAGTAAGCGTTATATCCATTTCTGCACATTCTAGTATTTTCTTAATTACATTCTCATCTGTTGGGATCTCATCACATTTCCACTGTTGAGCATATACAATTCTAGCTGCAGTTAGTACATGTAAAATCAAGTATACAGTCTCTTAATCATATTTTTCTGGCAGAATGCCCAATAAAAATATTTCTGGTTTCATGTCTATATGCTGTTTTATCATTTTTTCCAACCAGGTATGTATTTTCATCCAATATTTTTTAGCTTGTGGACATGTTCACCAGATATGGTAATATGAACCAGGTGTTTGATTACATTTCCAACATTTAGCAGATCTATCCTTATCCATATCTTCTGGTGCAAAATGCCATCTATGGAACATTTTATACAAATTTTCTTTATATGCAGTTGACATATTCAATTTAACATTTCTATCCCAGTTTCTGCCATTTGTCTAATTCTATTGCATATCCAAAATTTTTAGCCCAAACAATCATTGTCTCCTTTACCTGCTCACTTTCATGTTTAATACCTAGTAATAACAATATATTTTCTTTATCAATTTTTCATCGGTTCCAGTTAATATCTGGTCCAATTCTGTTAATTCTTTATTAAAACCATACATTTTAGCATCTTTCTCATATCGAGATTGTGTCTGCATTTGTGGCCATCATGTAATATCTATCCCTTGATTACTAAGTTCCTGCTTGGTTTTTAATTCCCCTTTTTCATTCAAAATATCTTTATATCTTACAATTTTTTCCATATTAATAACATTAGGATGTATCAATGCTTCCATTGTGGAAAGCCAGACTGGTGTTTTCAAGTAATGTTGTTCTTTAATTTTAAGCCATATTGATAACAATGCATTTCTAATATAATATCTTTGAAAATAACTATATATCTTATTCTTCCCATACCATAAAAAAGCATGCCAACCTAGTTGAAGGTCATGTCCTTCTAAAGTTAGTAGTCTTTTATGCCTCAAATTAATCAATTATTTCACCCAAGTAAGTACTGAGGCCTAGCAGTACAATTCCCAATCTGGCAGCAAAAAGCCCCCTCTTTTTCTGGAGTCTTGCAACATTTTCAAACCTATTCTTGCTTTTTTTCCTAGCCAGATATATCTTAATATCATTTTATTTAATTCCTCCAAATATTTTTCCCATTTTTATTGGAATTGTTTGGAATAAATATAATAGCCTTGGTAGAATATTATTTTTATGGTAGCTATTCGTCCTGTTAATGACAGTTGCAAATCTTTCCATTTCTCCAAATCTAGTTTAATTTGTTGTGACAGTTTCATATAATTATCCTCTTTAATTATTGCACATTTTGCTGTTAGCTATATTCCTAAGTACTTCACTTTTTTGACTATCTGCATATCAATTCTTTCCATCAACACTCTTTTTTGTGTATCTGTGAGATTTTTAACTAAAACCTTTGTCTTGTCTTTATTTATTTTCAATCCAGCAACTTCCCCATACTCTTCTACCTTTTTAATTAACTTTGGCCCAGTTTCTCATGAGTCTTCTAATATAAAGACCACGTCATTTGCAAACACCTGTAACTAGTATTTCTCTATTTTTATTTCCATTCCTTTTATTTCTTCATCTTGCCGAATATTTTTGGCTAATACTTCCTTAGTCAGTATAATTAGCAGAGGGGACAGTGGACATTCCTGCCTAGTGCCTTTTTTATATCAAAATTCTCCGTCATGTCTGCATTTCCATAGTCAGGTCTGCAGTTTTGAGCCACATGTGAAACCAAAAAAAAAAAAGCAAGGATCACCTTAGAAGATGTCAAACCATGTTAATTGTTTTTGTCCCAATGGGTTCTACTTAGAATAATTGACTTCATTTGCAGAGAAGTGTGGAGACACAGAGTGCCTCCCATAGAAAAAAATAGTAGAAGTGTAATTTGGTTAAATAGATAAAAGAATTCACAATATTTAAGAATCTGACCCCCAATCTGTAATATCTGGCATCCAATTCTTTTTCTTATCTTATCCAATGGGGCCAAGTGCTGCTATTCCTAAAAACAATATTATGTTGCTTCAAAGGTAGAATATGTACCACAAAATATGAATTTAGCTGTGATAGAAGTATGAATTGACTACTGTTTTCCCTCACTCCATATAGATTTCAGTGCATCCCAGAACCATGGTAAAGATTGTACAAAATAAGAAAGAATGAATTTAGATACATCCAAATTGAGGTTATTCTCAGCTACAGGGAAGGAGAAATCAACTTTCAAAGATGGTTTTTGAAGTTAGCTTATTGATTAATTGTTTAGAGAAACATGATCAAATAAACAGAATCACTTGTTGAAATCAGTGGTAATAGAAATCAAATATATTTTTGTCAACTCACTGTGAAAAGGTTGGACCGGCGCTTGGAGTGCTTACGAACAGGTGTTGGAGTATTAGTAGTAGGTGGCACATCAATTCGTAGTTCCTTCTGACTGGTGCTTGGAGTAGATGGGACAGAGGAAGAATAATCACTTAAACTCCCTCCTCCGTTACTGGTCTGGAATGATTAAAATTAATTTTAGCAGAAAGAAAATCAATTTCTTGATTGTATCTCCTACTACAACACAAGATTTTTAAATATATATAGAATTTCTGTATAGAGAAAACATTGGTCTCCTTCACTAAATTCTTAGAATTAATAGGCAATCTTTATGCCAAGATTGTTTTCGTCTATATTCCTCTTAAAAAGTTAATTGTCACATTTCTTTTCCTTTCCTTCTATTCCATGTAAGATCACAAGTGGCCAAAGATAAAACAAATCCTGACAGAGCAGATACATGTATACCATTGGTACATGGAATGTCAGAACTGTGAACTAAGCTTCATGTTGTTAACATAAAAATGCCCAAACTGAAGTACTGATATTCTTAGAATCTGCAAACGGAAATTGCCTAAAATGGATTACTTCACATCAGAAAATAGACAATTTTCTTCTTCTGTAGACAAAAAGCATGTTACTGTGGACAATAGCATGTTGAAGTCAGCACTCAATTACAGGTAGTCCTCGAGTTACAAATGGAATGGAGGCTGCCCATTCCATTTGTAGCCCAAGGATTCGTGGGAGTGAATCTCATACCTTGAGATTTGTACCTGGTGCCAACAAAGGCTTTTTGCAAAAGGCTGCCAGAGCCTACAGCAAGGGTCTTCAAACTTGGGAAGTTTAAGACTTGTGGACTTCAACTCCCAGAATTCCTGAGCTAACATGACTGGAGGAGGAATTCTAGGAGTTGAAGTCCACAAGTCTTAAAGCTGTCAAGTTTGAAGACCCCTGGCCTACAGGAACACAATCTCCTTGCAGGCTTCAGCAAGGGAATGGCAAACGGAGAGAAGGCCTCAAGGACCAAAGCCTGTTTGCAAATGTCCAGACCTCAATTCACAGAGAATAGAAGCCTAAAGTGCGAGATCACACGAAATCAGTAGCATAAGATCTCGCCCTACTGATCTTGCATGATCTCACGGTATGTTAGGCCTCTGTTCTCTGCAAATGCACTGAAAGCCTGAAGCAATGAAGCAGGCAAAGAAACCACCACAGAGAGGAGATCTTCACAAGGTAAGTGAGTCTCCACAGGCAAAATGCCTGTGAAGACCCAGCTGGGATGAGTTGGGGAAAGAGGTGGGGTGAATGTTGCAGAGCCTCTGTGGTCATTCATAACAGTGAACAAATGCCATAAGGCTGCAATAGACATAATTTTGGAACTTGTTTGTATACGCTAGGGGACACTTATCGCGTAACTTCAAACATTCACTAAGGGAACGCTTGTAACCCGGGGATTACCTGTATAATCCCAGAATTGAATGACTTATTTATTAATCAACGGCAAAAAACCCCAATAAAACCAGCATACAAAAAACAATTGCCAGCACCATAAGATAACACTGTCCAGTAAACAACAATCACTCAGACCCAGCCCCATTCTATTTTAGTGTTTGGGGAAGGGGGTACACAGTCCTATCTGATCTTAATTATTCTGTGTCTTTTATGCCATTTCCTTCTCCATTGAATCATCCTTGGTCTGATCCCTATGAGTGACCCTTCTGGGAATGTGCACATTCCCAAAGGCATAGCTCATAGTGTCACTGAGACATACAAGCTACTTCACCACTACATACATCAATAAATCATATATTAGTTCATACATTAGTTCTCATATAGTCATATTAGTTCTCACATCGTTAGAGTGATAAACTGTATGCCACACACAGAAACAGGAAAGAGGAAATTACAGAGAAAGTCCTCAAGCCTTCATAGAACTAGACAGGGCTATTTGGCATCACATCCATCAGTAGAATAATCTAAATAGAAGCTTATGGCTTTCTCATTTCTATTTGAACACATCCTATAAAGAGGAGCCCACTACCCCCTGTTAATTGTCTCCTCTATCAAACTGCTACATAAAAAATAATAATAGAAGGACATTGTTTTCCAGTAACTCACATCCATTAATCTACAATGATTGTTAATATACAGTTAGCAGGAACATTACCGTTTACATTTTATTTCCTTTGAGGACTATATAGAGTATTTATCTGAAACAAGGTGAAATATTTGGTCCATAAATATTAATATTTTTTTAAAATATAAGTTTTTTTAATTTTTAGATATACACAAATGTTGAATACATGAACAGTGTGGGATCTGGGTACCATTAGTTTTAATAACTTTTAATTTTAATACTTACAATATTATTATCTGTGAGTATGATCAATGTATTACTATCTTGCATCAAATATTAAGATTGTTAACTTCTTTAATAGTAGAATCTAGAGACTGTTGCATTCACTATGGAGAATGTTTTACATATGCCTTACTGAGCTTGAAGAACTCATTCAAGATTTTCAGAAGGGTTTTGCCCATGCTTTTTTCCTAGGTCTGAGAGAGTAACCGGCCAAAGGTCACCCAAACTGGTTTTGTACATGAGTACAATGAGCTCACTATTTGTTTCTAGCCTGGTGCCTTAGACACTACAGCAAAATGCCCTCTTGGGAATATTGCAGACTTAATATACCTTGATTTCAGCTAGGCCTTTGATAAAGTAGTACGAGTAATTATACTAATTTAATTACATGTGTGTTTAATGGCATGACAAGAAAGTAGGAACATAAATTTGTGTTCAAAAAGCAACGTTTGCTAATTTGACATTATACTGGAGAGAGGATATAAAAAATAATCTTGGATGTTCAGCTCTTCACTATTTTTATTAACAATTTTGTTGAAGAGGAGAGGGAATGTTTATCAAAAATACAGATTTTAGGTGGGTAAGAAATAATATTAAAAACAATCTTTATAGTACTAATAATGGAAAATATCTGTAGCTCAGGGTTGACATGAGAGATCCTTGGTGCTCTCTGAGCTTGCTTGTTTTCTTGCAGATGTTTCATTACCCAAACTAGGTACCATCATCAGTGCCAGTAAAGGAGTGCACTTTGCTGTCAGTTTATATTCTAATGGCTTGCCAATGTTGATAGAGGTGGACTTAGAGATTCTTTGGTTGGGCTGTTTGCTGTTGGCTTCTTTGACAATTTCTTGATTGGAGTATTACACTGTATGCAATATAAGGATTGCAACAACCACTATGTAGGACAAATAGGCAGAAGACTGGCAGAGCACTTCCATGAACACCAACTAGTAGTCAGAAGACATGATGAAAACTCTTTAATTTCACAACATACATACAGATTTAACCATAGCTTCAATTGGGAAAATGTGACCGTCCTTGACCATCCAAGACCAAAAATGTCAGGGAATTTCTAGAAGTCTGCACTCTGACAAATCAACCATCAATAGACACGTAGACATTAACAATGTCTATAGACAATGCAAAAGAGGCTATCACCCAGCCAAAAAAGGAGCAAAAAGACCCAAGCACTTTTCTGCCAGCAATCAGCACACAGATCAGCATAGATTAACACCAAAGTTAACATCAAACCAACAGTCAAGTAAAGAATACCCCAATCAAGAGGAACTTCCGGTTGCAAGGCTTCGGCGGCGGCAGGAATCCGCTTCTCTGCGGGTCCCTGCTGCGCTCGCCGCTGAGGTACCCCCGATCCAACTGGATTTGGGGGTTGTCGCTGCCCCGAAGAGGCAGCGGAAGACAGAGGAGATCCGGGCAGGGGTCTGGGGATATCACACCCCCTTTCCCCAGCCAGCTAGACTCCTTTTCCTGAGGCGGTGGAGCGGCTGTCAGAAATGGCAGCCACAAAGGAATCTTCAACCGGATAAGACTGTGCAGGAGGAAGACAGAAGGAGAAGTTTTCTTGGCTGAACCGGGACATTAAGTTACTTTTAAAACACCCTGGAAGCCTGACTTTCGGATTGATACATTTGTTTCCAAAAGAAGTTTGTTACGGGTGGCGAAAGTGCTGAAGGAAAGTTCACTCCCCTTCCTTACAGAGAAAGCAAATGAGCACAGAAAAACCTGCTGCTTTGAGGTAAAAACAAGCTCTTTGTTATAAGTGGGAAGGAGAGGACTAAAAAAAAAATCTTTAAAAACTTGTTGGAGGAGATGCTTTGAAGATTATAAGACCAACAACTAATTGTAATACGGCTATAAAATATATTTGGGATTTTGCCCCAGGAGGAAAAGTTGCAAAGAGAAGAAGAGGAAATAATTTCTGTCTGTTTGGATTGTTTGATAACTTTGACATTTGCAAATTACTTTAAGATTAAAAACATCTGGGTTGTTCTTAAAAATTTACAATGGCACCATCTGTGGCTCAACTAAAAATGGAATATGAAAAATTAAAAGAAAGAGGACAAAATGGCAAGAATTCATTGGGAGCTGTCTTCCACTTTTTAGAAATGGCAGTTTCTACGTACCAGCAAATACTTGATGAAGAAGGAGAAGGAGAAGAAGAAGAAGAAAAGAAAGCCATTTTTAATGGACAAAAAAGTTCGATTAAGAAAGAAAATAGGAAGAGAGGAAGGAAAAATGAGAATTTAAGATTCAATAAAACAACCAAGAAAAAGAAAAATAAGGTGAAAAAAGGTATAATGTTAGAAAGCAATTGAAAAGAGAATTACAACAGAGAGGGGAAGCTAAAAAGGTGGAGGTTAGGAGAGGGGGGGCAAAAAGATCAGACTGGAGAAGAAAGGGAGGGAAAAAGGGGAAAAAAGCCACGGTCTGAAACAAGATATCTTTTTTAGAGATAAAGGATAAAGGACAGTGTATAATTTAAGAAAGATTCTGCAAGAGTACATAAGATAGTATTGTAGTATTTGCATTTGAAATAGTCTATTGGAATATTATAAGATTTAACAAAATATTAAAATATTAAAATGTTTTATAATGATAGATTTCAATATTTAATAAAATATCAAAGAGAATGTGTAAAATGATTAATGCTTAGTTATACTATTAATTAGAATTAGAATGGAAATTATATACTTAATTATATTATAAGTTTATTATTCTTTTTTTTCAAAATGCAATATGTAGAATGTACTAAGCAGAATCAGGATAGAAATTATGTATTATTTTAAGTGTTACTTTAGGGAAA